GCCCAAGAAGCCTATTAAATGTTTTCCCCCTGAAAAAAAAAAAAAAAAAAAAAGGGTTGCTTTAGTGTTGGAACGTTAGGGTTGCTTTGAGGATGCGTCAGGTTTGGAACGTCGCGGCTGCTTTAGAGTTGAAACGTCGAGGTTGCTTTGGGGATGCGTCCGGGTTGAAAGTCGGGGTTGCTTTAGGGATGTGTAAGAGTTGAAACATCAGGGATGTTTTAGGGTTGGTACGTAGGGGTTGCTTTAGGGATGCGTCAGGGTTTGAACTAAGGGTCTTCTTTATCAATGCGTCAGAGTTGGAACGTCAGGGCGGCTTTAGGGTTGGAACGTCAGGGTTGCTTTAAGGATGCGTTAGGATTGGAACGTTTGGGTTGCTTTAGGGTAACGTAAGGGTTGAAACGTCGGGGTTGCTTTAAGGATGCGACAGGGTTAAAACATCGTGGTTGCTTTAAAGTGGGAACATCGGGGTTGCTTTAGGGATGCGTCAGAGTGGGAACGCCAGGGATGCTTTATGGATGCGTCAGGGTGGGAATGTCTTGGTTGCTTTAGGAATGATTCAGTGTTGTAACGTCAGGGTGGCTTTAAGGATGCGTCAGGGTGGGAACGTCTGGGTTGCTCTAGGGATGCGTTAGGGTTAGAACGTCAGGGCTGCTTTAGCGGTTCGTCAGGGTTACATCGTAAGGGTTCTTTTAAGTTTAGAACATCAAGGTTGCTTTAGGGATGCGTCAGGTTTGAAACAACGGGGTTGATTTATGGTGGAAACGTCAAGGTTGCGATAGGGATGCTTCAGGGTTGTAACGTCAGGGTAACTTTAGGGATTCGTAAGGTTTGGAACGTTGGGGTTGCTTTAAAGATGCGTTAGGGTTTGAACGTCGGGGTGGCTTTATGGTGGGAACGTCGAGGTTGCTTTAGGGATGCGTCAGGGTTGAAAAGTCGAGGTTGCTTTAGGGATGCGTTAGGGTTGGAACGTCGAAGTTGCTTTAAGGTATGAACTTCGAGATGCTCTAGGGAGACGTCAGGGTAGGAACGTCAGGGTTGATTTGGGGATGCGTTAGGTTTGGAACGTCTGGGTTGCTCTAGGTTGGGAACGTCAGGGTTGCTTTAGAGATGCGTCAAGGTAGGAACGTCAATGTTGCTTTTGGGATGCGTCAGGGTAGAAACGTCGGGGTTGCTTTGAGGATGCGTCAGGTTTGGAACGTCAGTGTTGCTTTAGGGTTAGAACATAGGGGTTGCCTTAGGGATGCGTCAAGGTTGGAAGGTCGGGGCTGCTTTAAGGATGCATCAGGGTGGGAACGTGAGGATTGCCTTAGGGATGCGTCAGGGTTGGAACTTCGGGGATGCCGTAAGGATGCGTCACGGTTAGAAAATCAGGGTTGCTTTAGGGATACGTAAGGGTTGGAACATCAGGGTTGCATTATGGTCGGAACGTCGAGGTGGCTTTAGGGATGCGTCCAGGTTGGAAAATCAAAGTTGCTTAAGGGAATTGTTAGGGTGGGAATGTCGGGGTTGCTTTAGAATATGAAATTCGGGGAGCTCTAGAGAGCGTTAGGGTTGGAACGTCGGGGTTGCTTTGGGGATTCGCTAGGGTTGGAACGTCTGGGTTGCTTTAGGGTAGGAACGTCAGGTTTGCTTTAGGGAAGCGTTATGGTCGGAAATTTGGGGTTGCTATAGGGATGCGTCAGGGAGTCGTCAGTGTTGCGTCAGGGTTAAAACGTCAGGGTTTTTTTTGAAGATGCGTCAGGGCTTGAACGTCGGGGTTGCTTTAGGGTTGGAACAACGAGGTTGCTCTAGAGATGCACCAGGGTTGGAACGTCTAAGTTGCTTTCAGGATGCGTCAGGGTTGGAACGTCGGGATCGCTTTAGGGATGCGTCAGAGTTGGAAAGTCAGAGATTCTTTAAGGATGCGTCACGGTAGGAACGTCAAGGTTGCTTTAGGGATACGTTAGGGTTAGAACGTCTGGGTTGCTTTAGGGTGGGAACGTCGAGGTTGCTTTACGGATGCGTCAAGGGTAGAACGTCAGGGTTGCGTCAGGGTAAGAACATCATAATTGCTTTAGGGGTTCGTCAGGGTTGCGTCAGGGTTGCGTCAGGGTGCCACTAATGTTGGCAAACGGGACATTTAGCTAGAGAATGCAAGAATAAGTTGGACTGCCCGGTATGTAGGGATGCTGGGCATAGGAACAGGAGTCATCGTGCGGGGGCCTGGGAAAGCCCGGTAGTTCCTCCGCGGAAAACATTAATTGAAACACAAATGACAGTGAGTGATAGTGAGGCTCGGGTGACTGGTGTTTCAATGATTAATGTAAATAGAGATACAGAGATAAATGTGGACCTGTCCACTCCCACAAGAACTATGAATGAAACAGTTACGCAGGACAAGGACTGCGAAATGTACAGGAGTGCGGGGCTGTTAGAAGTAGTTGGGGTAAGTGAGACGAACAGTAATAATGTCCCTCAATGAACAATGTATACAAGCAAACCTGAATCATGCTCGGGGTGCGCAGGATTTATTGATTCAGCGAATGCGCGAGTGTGGGTCAGGTCTTGCGATTATCGCAGAGCCGTGGTGGGTGCCTCCTAGGGATGAGAAATGGTTCTCGTCCCTGGGAGGGACTCCGCTATCTGCGATACTGGTAAGTGAAAGTAGAAGACCCTGTAGTCAAGTACTTAAGGGTAACTTTTTTATTGCCGTTAAGCAGGGGGACTCGCTGGTGATTTCCGTCTACTTTCCCCCCAGCGAGGTAATTAGTGAGTATTGTAGACTCCTGGACGAGCTCGAAGAGCTCTTGGGAAGATTCCCTACCTCTCCGGTGCTGGTGGCTGGCGACTTTAATGCCCAGGCCTGTAGATAAGACCCGGAGGGTAGGGGTAACCTAAGGGGAGAGTTGCTCTCTACCTGGGCTAATCGGTTGAACTTGCACGTCTTCCACCAGATTGGTCGTCCCACGTGCGTTTAGCCGCAAGGGTCGAGCGTTATAGACCTCACGTGGGGCTCATCAGTTGCCAGTATCCGCTTATCGGAATGAAGGGTAGATGAGGCAGAGTCCCTTTCGGACCATGGGTATGKTATATATAAATATTGTCATGAGACTACAGGGGTCCGAAGCTTGAGCCTACCTATCAAGACTTTTCCTCGGTGGAATGTGAGGGTTGCGAATGAGGACATGCTCGCAGCTGCTTTTATATCGAGTGATTGGATTAGAAATGAGTGTTGGGCGCGAACATCTTTTAAATATATACAAAAAATGATTATAAACGCGTGCGACATGGCACTGCCAAGAGTGAAAAACATAAAGGACAGGAGAAGGAAGGTGTGCTGTTGGTCGCAGGAATTATCTGCTATTAGAGCGGAAGCGACTGCGGCTAGGAGGCGCTTCCTGAAGGCCTGACGCAGAGGAAGTCTAATAAGAATAGAGATGTGTCTGGAGGTCTGTAAAGAGACCAGGAAAAAGTTAAAGAGGGCCATAAAAAAGGCAAAAGCTATTGCTTGGAGGGAATTTGTAGGGACATTGGAGGCAGACCCATGGGGCAGATCATAATGCCTGGTCATGGGGAAGTTGAGGCCTTACTCACCACCCTTGACGGAGGTGCTGGAACGACATGTGCTGGACCGAGTGTTGAAGGGGCTTTTTCTCCAAGTGGAACGGGACAGTGCTCGAGGCATGCATGGTGTACAGATAGATGGTATGGCTGTAACAATGGAGGAAGTGCTGGCTGCGGCAAAAAAGAACACTGGTGGAAAGGCTCCGGGACCGGATGGAGTCCCGGGCATGGTAGTAAAGGCAGCAGCGGTACACTGTGGGGTTGGTCTCGCGGAGTTCTTCACGGAATGTTTCAGGACCAGCAATTTTCCAAAAGCCTGGAAGAGGGCTAGGCTGRTCCTGATAAAGAAGAAGCATGATGCTCAACCCGACCTGCCTGGCTCATATAGACCGATCTGTCTGTTAGACGAGATCGGAAAATTATTTGAAAGAATAATAGTAACGAGAATGAATAGGTGCTTGGAGACAGAGGGTCTACTTTTACAGGCACAATTTGGATTTAGAGTTGGACGTTCTACAGTGGGTGCCATCATAGCGGTAAAAAAAATAGTAAAGGAGTGTGTAAATAGTGAAGGGGTTGTAATATTACCCTCGTTAGATATTAGCAATGCTTTCAATTCGCTTCCGTGGGAGACAATTTTCAGGGCGTTAGATGAAAAAGGTCTTCCCACGTATATTGTAAATATAATTAAAAGTTACTTGTCGAACCGATTATTATTATTTGTTGGGAGACAGGGACGTTTGGAGGAAAGACGGGTGTCGTGCGGAGTTCCACAGGGCTTAGTATTAGGACCAACCCTGT